CCACTCAAAGTTAGACATTCCTGTACCGTATTGTTGTTATAGCGATCATAATAAGATGTTATGTGTCTCATGAACAAACTAGAGTACATGTTCACTAGCCCATCTGTAATGAGTTTTCTGTGAATATCAAAACGTGATAGATATTTCTGTATTCAATTTGTCTCAGACACTGAGTAGCAACATGTTTGTTGCGAAACCCTACATTACTTTGTATTGCATGTGTATCGTTGTGGTGTTCAGAGTTCCATTCTAGTGCAGTTTGTGGTGTTCAGAATTCCATTCTAGTGCAGTTTGTGGTGTTCAGAGTTCCATTCTAGTGCAGTTTGTGGTGTTCAGAGTTCCATTCTAGTGCAGGTTGTGGTGATATTGTGCATGTCAAAAACAAACTGTGAAAATAAACTAAGAACCTATTGATATTAATATTGTGATAATTGAAGAAATGACAAAACCTTTCCCTTTAAATGATAGCAGTACTCGTTTAATTGACACCACTGGTCCTTTAAACGATAGCACTGTCCCTTTAAAGTTTGCCAGGGATGGGCAAACTTTTGGCTCAAATGCCATATTGGGAGGGCCACATAGGTTTTTTTTAACCAATTTGTTTGTCAAAATACATTTGTGGCACAGAAAAATGGAAGTTATTTGAAAATATAAAGGTCCATTATAATTTCTACAGAGTTTTAGACATTCAAGTGTGGCCTGGAGTATTTTTTTAAAACCCGAAAAAATCATTTACTCAAACATCCGCGGGCCGTAGTTTTCCCACCCCTGCTTTTAATAAAAAACTGATTATTGTCGATCAACAATGACAAGCCACCGGGGTCTGACAACTTGGATGGAAAATTACTGAGGATAATAGCGGCCGATATTGCCACTCCTATTTGCCATATCTTCAATTTAAGCCTGCTAGAAAGTGTGTGCCCTCAGGCCTGGAGGGAAGCAAAAGTTATTCCCCTACCTAAGAATAGTAAAGCCCCCTTAACTGGCTCAAATAGCCGACCAATCAGCCTGTTACCAACCTTTAGCAAACTTTTGGGAAAAAATGGTGTTTGACCAGATAAAAAGCTATTTCACAGTAAACAAATTGACAACAGATTTTCAGCACGCTTATAGGGATGGACATTCAACAAGCACTTACATAAATGACTGATGATTGGCTGAGAGAAATTGATGATAAAAAGATTGTGGGGGCTGTTTTGTTAGACTTCAGTGCGGCTTTTGACATTATCGATCATAGTCTGTTGCTGGAAAAACGTATGTGTTATGGCTTTACACCCCCTGCTATATTGTGGATAAAGAGTTACCTGTCTAACAGAACACAGAGGGTTATTTAATGGAAGCCTATCCAACATAATCCAGGTAGAATCAGGAATTCCCCAGGGCAGCTGTCTAGGCCCCTTACTTTTTTCAATCTTTACCGACGACATGCCACTGGCTTTGAGTAAAGCCAGTATGTCTATGTATGCGGATGACTCAACACTATACACGTCAGCTACCACAGCGACTGAAATGACAGCAACACTTAACAAAGAGCTGCAGTTAGTTTCAGAATGGGTGGCAAGGAATAAGTTACTCCTAAATATTTAAAAAACCAAAAGCATTGTATTTGGGACAAATCATTTACTAAACTTCAACTAAATCTTGTAATAAATAATGTGGAAATTGAGCAAGTTGAGGAGACTAAATTGTTTGGAGTGACCCTGGATTGTAAACTGTCATGGTCAAAACAGTAGCTAGGATGGGGAGAAGTCTGTCTATAATAAAGCGCTGCTCTGCATTCCTAACAACACTATCAACAAGGCAGGTCCTACAGGCCCTAGTTTTGTCGCACCTAGACTACTGATCAGTTGTGTGGTCAGGTGCCACAAATAGGGACTTAGGAAAATTGCAATTGCTCAGAACAGGGCAGCACGGCTGGCCCTTGGATGTACACAGAGAGCTAACATTAATAATATGCATGTCAATCTCTTCTGGCTCAAAGTGGAGGAGAGATTGACTTCATCACTACTTGTATTTGTGAGAGGTATTGACATGTTGAATGAACCGAGCTGTCTGTTTGAACTACTGGCACACAGCTCGGACACCCATGCATACCCCACAAGACATGCCACCAGAGGTCTCTTCACAGTCCCCAAGTCCAGAACAGACTATGGGAGGCGCACAGTACTACATAGAGCCATGGAACTCTATTCCACATCAAGTAACTCATGCCAGCAGTAAAATTAGATTTAAAAAACAGATAAAAATACACGTTATGGAACAGCGGGGACTGTGAAACTACACAAACATAGACACATGCATACAAACACACGATAACATACGCACTATACATACATGTACACATGGATTTTGTGTTATAGATATGTGGTAGTAGAGTAGAGGCCTGAGGGCACACAATATGTTGTGAAATCTGTTATGAATGTATTGTAATGTTTTTAAAAATGTATAACTGCCTTAATTTTGCTGGACCCCAGGAAGAGTAGATGCTGCCTTGGCAACAGCTAATGGGGAACCCATAATAAATACAAATACAAATGATAACCCTGCTCCTACAATCGATAGCACTGTCCTGTCATTAACTGTTCTGTCACTGTTTTGTGTCATAGGCTACAATGAATGTAGACCACAACCTGAGTGACAAAACCCATTCTGTGGAGATGCCAATAACCCAAACACAAGAAAACCAAGCATGCCTCCTTTTGTGTCATTTTTATAAAGTTGTTTTATTTGTGATGTATTTTTGTTGATTTCCTACCCGTTGTTCTTTATGTCAATAATTATTATAACAAAGATTACATCATAGATTTGGAAACGAATACATTAAATATTAAATGAACTTTAAAACCAAGGTTAGGGAAAAAAAAAGATATTAAAAAATGAAACAAACGTGGCTCTGTGTTGTTTAGAGAAATGTTTCTACCTATTATTGCTACGGTGAAAGGTGAAAGGTAAAAGGTGAAAAGTCAGGAAAGAAAATGAAAAAGATCAAAAGTACAGGATGACATAATAAAGCCATACAGTTACTGATTATTGTGGTTGGCAATGTTTCCCATTCCTACTCTATCTAACATGCTTAAAAACTCTCTGAAAATATTGCTAAACTATTTGACACACACAAAATAGTACATGATATGAACTTTCCACTTCCTCACTAAATTTTGCCTTCTCTCTCCAACAAATGAAACAAAAAGAAAATGGCGGCTCACCACCATCCACCTCTCCACTGTATCTCCCTGTGTGTTCTGACTGCATCCCACGCCTCAATATGCATTTAGCCCAAACACACAGACCAATGCAGAGTGGATACAGGGCGCAGAATCTAGATTTGGTAGGGCTTCTATCTCTGGGAACATAATACCAACAGAAAATGTTTTAATCATTCTTTCAGGGTACAGAAAAAATACCTTCCAAGATGGTTCATGCCACACTCTTATCTGAAGCATAATGGGGATGAATAACAACCAATCCCCCAATTTTTTTTAATAAAAAGCGACTTCAGTCTGTTACTAGTTTTTTCTTTTATTTCCAATTTACATTAATCAAAACCGTAACAAAAACAAAATCATGATCATCATATTTATTAATAATAATAATAATAGTAATGCTATTATTATTAACAATAGTACTATTATTATTATTAATAATACAAAATATACACAGCCTCACAAATAAACACACCCTCTGCCCTGGTCATAGGTTGTTTTCCTCTGTATGTAAAGGAGGGCTGGATTGTCTAATAGTGATTTCACTCAAGTCTAACAGCCCTGCCCTGTTCCTGTTCCTAGGGGGCAAGGCCAGGGCCGAGGTACTTCCTGCCAGGGTAGAGGGTATTTCCTGTGTGAGGGGACAGTGGGGGCTTATCGGAGGAAGAGGAGTGTGATAGGTCTAGGGTTAAAGGCACCTTCTGGTGGTCTTTTCACAACATGGGGTCTCATGCACCAAAGATACGATCACCCAAGCTGGATTTGTAAACTTGGATAACTTTGCTTAGTTGTTTGTTTCTTTTTTTTTAGCGTGAGGTAGCTTAAAATATAATTAAAACAAAACAGCAAATGTTTAGATCTGAGATTGATTCCGAATTGAACATGTCTCTTACAAAAATGATGGACATGGTTTATGTTTCGTTGGGCAGCCAGGGAGGGGGGTCGCGGTTGGGGGGAACGGGCAGCGACATTTCCCAATCTGAAAAAAAATCTCAGCGTGAAATGTACTCTGAAAACTGTAGATATATGTATACACACACATATACATATATACACATTATAAACATGTCACTAATACATCAGTATCTGGTTGTTAAAGATTACAGACTGGTTTTACAGCAATAGCACCATTTTACTATATTATAATACACAGTAACTTCCTGATACACACTGGCAGTTGGAAGTAGGAACACCTGCACTTATCACACTGCTAGGTTTTTGGTTTCGATTTGATATAATGTTTGGGGTGGGAAGGTATATAGGATAAAGAAGAAGGGGAACTGATAGAATATGTATGTTGTTGTGCGTGGGGCCTTTCTACAGGGTAACACACTCAGTCCTAACACACCTGGGACCCACACCTGAACAATAAATAAATAACACCAACTCGGCTCTCTTTCTTTCATGCTCTGACATGCTCCCCCTTTCTCTCCTTCTCCTCTTCCCTTGTTCCTTCTTGTTAGTGGGGAGGTGCTCCCAGGCTGGGGGGTGGAGGGGATGGGGGGATGGAGGGAGGGTTGAGGCTCCATGGGAGGGGGGGTTTGACGGAGGGAGACTGGAAGTCGATGAAATCCCAGATGAATATTGCCGGTGCCATTCAGTGCAGATATCCTAGGAGTACGACTTGGTTGGAAAAAGCACTTTTTACTTTAAAAAAAAAAAAGTGACTTGATCTTTCTCTTTTCTCTCTTTCATTCATTTTATTTGCTAGAAGTATGTGTTCCTTCCTCTCTCTCTCTCTCTCTCTCTCTCTCTCTCTCTCTCTCTTTCTGCTTTTCCTTTTTCGTCCATCTATCTTTACAGGAAGCAGACTGCACCGACGTCGACTCCAAACTCTTGGTCCGCTCCTCCAATATCCATGGGAGCAATGTCCACGATGGGCAGCCGGCTGGTCTTCTGTGATCTGTAGTCAATCACTGTCTTGCCCCAGGCTCCTGTGTGTTTCTGTGGACAAAGAGGCAGAGCTGTTACATATATTGTTAGAGGACAGCAGACACCGAATGAACGTGTTTGTGACTGCATGGGTCTGACACTCTAGAGTGACGTCCTATAGTCACAGCATTCACTGCCTCAAGACTTAACCCCATGAGACTGCAATGTTGAAGAAGTTTGTGTGTGTGTGTGTGTGTGTGTGTGTGTGTGTGTGTGTGTGTTTGTGTATGTGTGTGTATGTGTGTGTGTGTGTATGTACACTACCGTTGAAAAGTTTGGGGTCACTTAGAAATGTCCTTGTTTTCGAAAGAAAAGCAATTTTTTTGTCCATTAAAATAACATCAAATTGATTAGAAATACAGTGTAGACATTGTTAATGTTGTAAATGGCTATTGTAGCAGGAAACGGCTGGTTTTTAATGGAATATCTACATAGGCGTACAGAGGCCCATTATCAGCAACCATCAGTCCTATGTTTCAATGGCACGTTGTGTTTGCTAATCCAAGTTTATCATTTTAAAAGGCTAATTGATCATTAGAAAACCCTTTTGCAATTATGTTAGCACAGCTGAAAACTGTTGTGCTGATTAAAGAAGCAATCAAACTGGCCTTCTTGAGACTAATTGAGTATCTGGAGCATCAGCAATTGTGGGTTCTATTACAGGCTCAAACTGGCCAGAAACAAATATATTTCTTCTGAAACTCGTCAGTCTATTCTTGTTCTGAGAAATGAAGGCTATTCCATGCGAAAAATTGCCAATAAACTGAAGATCTTGTACAACGCTGTGTACTACTCCCTTCACAGAACAGCGCAAACTGGAAAGAAAAAGCCATATCTCAGACTGCCCATCTTTTCTTTTTATTGGCCAGTCTGAGATATGGCTTTTTCTTTGCAACTCTGCCTAGAAGGTCAGCATCCCGGAGTCGCCTATTCACTGTTGACGTTGAGACTGGTGTTTTGCGGGTCCTATTTAATGAAGCTGCCAGTTGAGGACCTGTGAGGCATCTGTTTCTCAAACTAGACACTCTAATGTATTTGTCCTCTTGCTCAGTTGTGCACCGGGGCCTCCCACTCCTCTTTCTATTCTGGTTAGAGCCAGTTTGCGCTGTTCTGTGAAGGGAGTAGTACACAGCGTTGTACGAGATCTTCAGTTTCTTGGCAATTTTTCGCATAGAATAGCCTTCATTTCTCAGAACAAGAATATACTGATGATTTTTAGAAGAAAGTTATTTGTTTCTGGCCATTTTGAGCCTGTAATCGAACCCACAATTGCTGATGCTCCAGATATTCAACTAGTCTCAAGAAGGCCAGTTTTATTGCTTCTTTAATCAGCACAACAGTTTTCAGCTGTGCTAACATAATTGCAAAAGGGTTTTCTAATGATCAATTAGCCTTTTAAAATGATAAACTTGGATTAGCAAACTCAACGTGCCATTGAAACACAGGATTGATGGTTGCTGATAATGGGCCTCTGTATGCCTATGTAGATATTCCATTAAAAATCAGCCGTTTCCAACTACAATAGCCATTTACAACATTAACAATGTCTACACTGTATTTCTGATCAATTTTATGTTATTTTAATGGACAAAAAAATTGCTTTTCCTTTTCGAAAACAAGGACATTTCTAAGTGACCCTAAATTTTTGAACGGCAGTGTATGTGTGTGTGTATGGTGTGTGTGTATGGTGTGTGTATGTGTGTGTATGTGTCTGTTTATGTGTGTGTGTGTGTGTGTATGTGTATGTTTATGTGTGTGTGTGTGTATGTGTGTGTGTGTATGTGTGTGTGTATGTGTGTGTATGTGTCTGTTTATGTGTGTGTGTGTGTGTGTGTGTGTGTGTATGTTGTGTGTGTGTATGTGTGTGTGTGTATGTGTGTGTGTATGTGTATGTGTGAAAATGTATGCACTCACTAACTGTAAGTGGATAAGAGCGTCTGCTAAATGACTAAAATGTAAAATGTGTATGTGTATTCCTCTCACCGTGCAGATGTCCTCCATGACGCTGTATGTGAAGCCGCTGTTCCCTGTGTGTGTGTGTGTGTGTGTGTGTGTGTGTGTGTGTGTGTGTGTGTGTGTGTGTGTGTGTGTGTGTGGCCATAGTGTACAGTGTGTGTGTTAGTTTTCGTCCTCTCACCGTGCAGCCGTCCTCCATGACGCTGTATGTGAAGCGGCTGTTGCCCTCGGCTCTGATCTCCACATCGTTGGAGCCCTGGAGCAGCAAGGCCTTCTTCAGGTTGCCCGTGGCCCCGTCCATGTAGGCCACGCTGTTCTTACAGTGGTAGGTGAGGTTCTGGCTTGCCTCGGTGGACAGCAGCCGCAGGAAGGTCATCTGGATGCTGGCTGTGTTGGCTGCCAGGCTGTCATCGCCATAGCTGAACTGTAGAGGGCAGCAGAGAGAGAGAGGAGGGGAGAACAGAGAGGTCAGAACCAGTACCACGATGGATGTAATTTTATGTTGTCTATGGTTAAAACTAGTGAAAGAGGAGGGGGAGACAGGGAGCTTAGAACCAATGTGATAATTATATACTGTATGATGTCTGGTTAGAACCAAAAATAAAGAGACATTCCTCTGACTGGTGGCATCGCTTGACAATATAAAGGGAGATATGTGTAAGATTCAACCCTTTAAATTCACCTCCAGTTTATAAAATTTGAGTAAGGGCAGAGATTTAATCTGAGATTGAGGTGGGAATCATGATCGTATGATCACAATCATATAATGAGGATTGAAGAGGGATTTACGTGGAATCCTCCGTTCATGGTCTCTCCGAACCAGACGTGTTTGGCAGCCTTGCTCTTGCTGGACCACCAGTTCTTCTTGGGGATGCTGGCGGGCTTGGGGTAGACGCAGGACTCTCCAGACTCCATGTTACAGTAGACCTTGATGGCGTCGATGGTGCAGCCCTGGTTAGGGTCGATCCAGTACTCACCTGCAGACAGACAGAGGAGACAGGTCAGATTTCATCCCTAGTTCTTCCTATGTAACTGTAATACACATGGTCATATTTATTTTGTCTTTTGAACACTACAGAACCTTCCAGATTTCCTCATAAGGACAGAGTTTTTCCCAATCTAATCAGTAGCGGTAGGAGTTTTCCCTCACCACATCACCTGACCATACCAGGAGAACCTTTAGGACCCAGACTTTTTCCTGGTCAAGTCATGTTGGTCTAAAAAACTCTTGACCCCTAACAAAGAGCCAATCTTCGCTCCTATCCCGCCACTCACCACTCTTCCAGTCGGGGTGGCACAGCTTCAGGTCTCTGCAGGTACGTGCTGGGTTCTTCTTCGAGCCCTCAGGTGAGCGGATGTTCTCGATCTGGTTGTTGAGGGACTTGAGTGTGGCGTCCACCTCGGCGTCGTGCGTCCTCAGGTTTCCGGAGGCCTGGTCGGCCCTCATGTACCTCAGGGGATCGGGGGACTTCTCAAGCTGAGACAGGCCAGCGAATGCAGACATGTCGATGCCAGGACCGGGGGGACCAGGAGGACCAGGGGGTCCGGAGTTTCCAGGGGGACCCTGAGATACACAGATAGAAAGATAGAATACTTAATTGATTGAAGAATTTGGTGATGTATTGCTACCATGGCAGTGCCATAGGTATTCCAGAGGAGGAAAAACACAGAGCAGAGGGGAGTTAAAGTGCAGGTGGAATCAAGTGTTCATAAGGCTGGCTGCTGTCTCAAATGACACCCTGCACCCTATATAGGGCATTCCTTGGACCAGAGCAAAGGTAGAGCACTATATGGGAAATAGGGTATTTTGAGATTTGCACCAAGTCACCCACTACTCGGTGGACTTTTGATGATCCCTAAGATCCAGTAAGGTGAGAGATGAGAACGATACTCACAGAGGGACCAGTCTCTCCGGAGCGACCACGGGGTCCGGGGGGTCCAATGGGACCGGGCATACCGTTGGAACCATCCTTTCCAGAGGGACCAACAGGTCCGGGGGGTCCCTAAACAGAACACGCACAAGGATTTAGATGTACTGTTACTGTACACTACAGCTCTGCCTGCCATGCTCTTTGGCTGACAATGAATAAGACAGGCACCTCTCAAAACTCTGTGTAAGACTTTTTAATGCTTCTGTCTATACTCACTCTTGATCCACTTGGTCCGGCAGGTCCAGATGCACCCTGGTCTCCAGCTTGACCCTGTGGGGAGAGACAAGGTGAGACAATGTCTAGGATATACACAACTTCAGATAAAGGGTCAAAGGCCATTTTTAGGGAGTTTGAGGTACAGGGAGATTAGGGGGTACAGGAAGATGAGGGGTACAGGAAGATTAGGGGGTACAGGAAGATGAGGGGGTACAGGAAGATTAGGGGGTACAGGAAGATTAGGGGTACAGGGCATTAGGGTACAGGAAGATTAGGGGTACAGGGCATTAGGGTACAGGAAGATTAGGGGGTACAGGAAGATTAGGGGTACATGAAGATTAGGGGTACAGGAAGATTAGGGGTACAGGAAGATTAGGGGATACAGGAAGATTAGGGGTACAGGAAGATTAGGGGGTACAGGAAGATGAGGGGGTACAGGAAGATTAGGGGTACAGGAAGATTAGGGGTACAGGAAGATTAGGGGTACAGGAAGATTAGGGGTGTACAGGAAGATTAGGGGGTACAAGAAGATTATGGGTACAGGAAGATTAGGGGTACAGGAAGATTAGGGGTACAGGAAGATGAGGGGTACAGGGAGATTAGGGGTACAGGTAGATTGGGGTACCGGGAGATTAGGGGTACAGGGAGATTAGGGGTACAGGGAGATTAGGGGTACAGGGAGATTAGGGGTACAGGGCATTAGGGTACAGGAAGATTAGGGGGTACAGGAAGATTAGGGGTACAGGAAGATTAGGGGTACAGGGAGATTAGGGGTACAGGAAGATTAGGGGTACAGGGCATTAGGGTACAGGAAGATTAGGGGGTACAGGAAGATTAGGGGTACAGGAAGATTAGGGGTACAGGGAGATTAGGGGTACAGGGAGATTAGGGGTACAGGGCATTAGGGTACAGGGAGATTAGGGGTACAGGAAGATTAGGGGTACTGGGCATTAGGGTACAGAGAGATTAGGGAGTACAGGAAGATTAAGGGTACAGGAAGATTAGGGGGTACAGGAAGATTAGGGGGTACAGGAAGATTAGGGGTACAGGAAGATTAGGGGGTACAGGAAGATTAGGGGTACAGGAAGATTAGGGGGTACAGCGTGATTTGGGGTACTTACGGGAGGTCCAGGCAGACCCTGCAGGCCAGTGAATCCTCTGTGTCCCTTCTGTCCTCTCTCGCCACCCTCTCCAGCCTCACCCTTGTCTCCACGGGGTCCTTGGGGTCCAGCCATTCCTCTGGCTCCAGCAGGCCCGGAAGGCCCAGCGGGTCCTTGAGCTCCCTAGAGAACAGCCAAGAGACAGACACAGGGTTAGTAAGGGCTGCAATACATTAGTATCTGAGTGAAGTCAATTACATGTCCGTTATATCCAAGAAAGTGTATGGATTAATTCATACATTAATATACAAGTCGACTCTCACATATCCAGTATATCCTGAAAATAGAAATGGACAGAAAACCTCAACTTCACGTCCTGGGTTGTTCACCCCTGACGTCCTCTCAAGAGAGGGGCTTAAGGGGTGCTATAGGGGTTCTACGGGGTATCAACGGGGTTGCCATGGGGATGATAAGGGGAGTGTTATAGGGGTTCTACGGGGTGTAAACGGGGTTGCCATGGGGATGATAAGGGGAGTGTTATAGGGGTTCTACGGGTGTAAACGGGGTTGCCATGGGGATGATAAGGGGAGTGTTATAGGGGTTCTACTGGTGTAAACGGGGTTGCCATGGGGATGATAAGGGGAGTGTTATTGGGGTTCTACGGGTGTAAACAGGGTTGCCATGGGGATGATAAGGGGAGTGTTATAGGGGTTCTACGGGTGTAAACAGGGTTGCCATGGGGATGATAAGGGGAGTGTTATAGGGGTTCTACGGGTGTAAACGGGGTTGCCTTGGGGATGATAAGGGGAGTGTTATAGGGGTTCTACGGGTGTAAACGGGGTTGCCATGGGGATGTTAAGGGGAGTGTTATAGGGGTCCTACGGGGTGTAAAGGGGGTTGCCATGGGGATGTTAAGGGGTGTTATAGGGGTTCTATGGGGTGTAAACGGGGTTGCCATGGGGATGTTAAGGGGTGTTATAGGGGTCCTACGGGGTGTAAACGGGGTTGCCATGGGGATGTTAAGGGGTGTTATAGGGGTCCTACGGGGTGTAAACGGGGGAGCCATGGGGATGATAAGGGGAGTGTTATAGGGTGTATACTCACAGCCTCTCCCCTGTCTCCCTGCTTGCCGGTGGGGCCGACGGGGCCGGGGGCACCATTACCACCTGGGGCGCCAGGAGCACCAACAGGACCGGTGTTACCACGGTCACCTTTGATTCCAGTGGCTCCATCTCTACCAGGGGGTCCATCAGAACCAGCGTTGCCCTGAGAGACAATTACACATTGTTTAAAATCAGAAGCATCAAACGTATAGTTAGTGATCCACTTAATCATGACAGTGAGTTAACGTATTGTACTGCAGGTATAGAGTTGACAATGAGAGGCCATATTGGTGACACTGTGCTGCATTGAATGGCACACTATTCTCTATATGGTGCACCAGATTTGACCAGAGCCCTATGTGGACCCTGGTGAAAAGTAGTGCTCTATATAAGAAATAGGATGCAATTTCAGACACAACCCATGTTATGGGACAGACACTGACCTCTCTACCAGGTTCTCCAGCGGGTCCAGTCAGTCCAGGGGGTCCCACTGGGCCAGGGGGTCCACGGTCTCCGCTTCCACCAGGAGCTCCTTGTTTACCAGGCTCACCCTGGGGAGATGGACACAGGTTGGTTGGAGGACCACCGATAGGGGGTGACACTCATTTAATCAATAGTCATCTATTCACTGATCATTTTCTTCGAATATCCATCTATCCATTCTTATTTGAAAATGGGTGGGTACAACGCAATTCACTGTACAATATTATTCTGTAATGAATGAATACATGCGTGTCAAGTCGCCTTTAGTAACCCATAGTCTACTGTATAATAATTAATCAATCATTTATTAATTAATCGATGTGTAAATTGATTCTAACTGCAATTTAATAGAATGTGCATGTGACTTACAGAGGGTCCTGGCAGGCCAGGGAAACCTCTCTCTCCACGCTGTCCTGGAAGACCAACAATGCCACGCTGTCCAGCTAGACCTGAAGGACCTGAAGGTCCATCGGGACCCTGGGATGAGGAAGACAGGAGAAAGAGAGGAGGAAGAGAGGAAGAAGAGGAGGAAGAGAGGAGGAAGAGAGGAAGAGAGGAGGAAGAGGAGGAAGAGAGGAGGAAGAGGAGGAGAGGATGAAGAGAGGAGGAATGAAGGAGGAAGAGAGAGAGGAAGAGAGGAGGAGAGAGAAGAAGGGAAGAGGAGGGAAGAAGAGAGGGAGAGCGGAGGAGAGGAGAGAGAGGGAGGAGAGAGAGAAGGAAGGGGAAGAGGAAGCGAGGAGGAGGAGAGGAGGAAGAGATGAGGAGGGAGAGAAGAGAAGAGATTAGGAGAGGAGGAAGAGAGGAGAGGAAGACAGTGTGTTATTATCAACAAAAACAATCAACAAAAAAACACATACAAATCTATAAATGTATTTTGTGTGCACTGCATCCTACTCTCCTCCACTTATGTGATTCAGGCCAGAGAGGAACAGTGTGTCTAATCATGTCTGTTCTCTGTTCTCTGTGATTGCCTGTCCAATTTCAGTAACTTTCAGCCATCAGTTCAGTGCTACTCAGGGGCAAATTGTAGGGTGTGTAAGTGCAAAGTAAAAGCCTTGGACTCTGTGCCATCATGTCTCTGTCCAGGGGAAGCCTCGAGGTGCTATTAAGGTCCCGGCAGACAGCAGTGTGTTTAGTCTGGTTATTGGGTCAGTGATGAACACACACTGACAGCTATGTGTTGTGATGGGGATGAGGGAGTAGTGTTGTTGTCCATTATAATGGGTCTTTCTTTCATTCCCTGGACTGATGTCCGTGCCAGTGAGTTGGAAGTAAACAAGAGAGACTTTTTTGGAAATAAAGCCAGTCTGGTTTTATAGCTGCAAAACCTCAGATGTATTTCAGTGTTATCTTGGGTGGTGGGGTTGTGCAGGTGTGTTGAATGAAGCATAAAGCCTGTAGGACCTGTATTTGAGGATGGTTTTGATAAAAGGTGAACTTACTGGGGACAGATAATTCAGCTTGTATTAACCCCTTTTGTTTATTGGGGTGCTGGGCTGAATGAGAGTTATCAAGCCGTCCAGTATTCCCCGGATTGGTGCTTGGAGGACGGTACTGTAGTGATAAACAGGTGAACTTACAGGGGGACCATCCTCTCCAGCATCTCCCTTCTCTCCAGGGGCTCCAGCGGCTCCACGCAGCCCAGCGTCTCCCTGTCTGCCTGGGGGTCCACCGTCTCCACGCACACCCTTAGGACCATCTTTACCAGAAGGGCCAGCGGGACCAGCAGCACCAGGGTTACCCTGCAGAGAGACACATCAATCAATAAATCAATCAATCAACAAGTCAACAAATCAACGAATCAATCAATACATCGATCAACCAATCCATCAATCTGTCAATCAATCAATCAACCAATCATCACTCAATCAATGAAACAACAATCAATCAATCAACCAAACAATAACCAATTAATCAATCAATCAATCATACAAACACAAAACACATAACGGTAAGACAGACAGACAGACAGAGAGACAGGCAGACAGACAGGCAGACAGACAGACAGACAGACAGACAGACATACAGACACACAGACACACAGACAGGAGACAGGAGACAGACAGACAGACAGAATGACAGACAGACAGACAGACAGACAAACAGACAGACAGACAGACAGACAGACAGACAGACAGACAGACAGACAGACAGACAGACAGACAGACAGACAGACAGACAGACAGACAGACAGACAGACAGACAGACAGACAGACAGACAGACAGACAGACAGACAGACAGACAGACAGACAGACAGGAGCAGGTCAATACTCTCTGGGATAACAACCATTCAGACCTAAACTGCCCACAGAAACACGGGAGCAGGTCACAACCATTCAGAATGAAACTGCCCACAGACAGACAGGAGCAGGTCAATACTCTCTGGAATAACAACCATTCAGACTGAAACTGCCCACAAAAACACGGGAGCAGGTCACAGCCATTCAGAATGAAACTGCCCACAGACAGACAGGAGCAGGTCACAACCATTCAGAATGAAACTGCCCACAGACAGACAGGAGCAGGTCAATACTCTCTGGGATAACAACCATTCAGACTGAACCTGCCCACAGACAGACAGGAGCAGGTCAATACTCTCTGGGATAACAACCATTCAGACAGAAACTGCCCACAGACAGACAGGAGCAGGTCAATCTGGGACATATATCAGTCTACAATATATATATATATATTTTTAAATGTTAAATTAGCATTATATCTGTCTGATATAACGTAATTTACTCTGATTTATAGGTTATTGGATACACAGTTTATTATTGTTATTATTATTTTAAACACGGAGTTGGTTGCTGCACGTGGTTGCCATGCAGGCTCTGCTTGCCTTGACAAAATGATGAGCGAGGAACAGGCAAAAAATACCGAAATGGAGAATTTGGTTGCAGAAAGAAATGCATCGTCATTATATGGAAATATTTCAGCTACAGACAGGATGATGTTGACCAAAAACACGTACTTTGTCGAGAGTGCCTTGCAATTGTTGCCACAACACGAGGCAACACGACCAATTTGTTCGATCATTTAAGGCGGCACCACAAATCTTCGTATGACGAGTGCAAAGCATCTCAATGCCCTCCAAAGCATCTCAATGCCCTCCAAAGCATCTCAATGCCCTCCAAAGCAAAAATCTATTTCGGATGCCTTTGCCAGTATTACACCATACGAGAAAGGTTCCAAACGGCAGAGAGAAATCACAGATTCAATAACATTTCATGTCGCCAAAGACATGGTACCAATTAACACGGTTACCAAAGAGGGTTTTTCAAAAACCATGATTTGGTCACTGACGAGGAGTCAGTAATGCACAAGCAACTATGTTCTCAAGTGCACCAGAGTTGTACAGAAAGCAAGGCCAGCTGAAACAGAGCCTCACAAGTGGCAATATACAGAAAAGGACTTGTGTCCAGCCCGGGCAACGGACCTACTATAATGCCATCAACTTATTAATCGGATTCCACCTGCAAAAGTCATGTTGAAACTGTTTTCCCCAGAGGATTATCTACATATCTACCTTATTCAATCATCGCAATATAGTCCAACAAACAAAATACGCAATGCAGATTTCCACATTCGCTGCAACCCCGCACAACCAGTCAGACGACTCCCACATAACATGACAGACAGGAGACAGAACCTCAGATGAACCTGCCACAGACGAAGACAGGAGCAGGACAACACCCTTCAGACTGAACCTGCCCACATACAGAGAGACAGGAGCAGATCACAACCATTCAGACTGAACCTGCCCACAGACAGAGAGACAGGAGCAGATCACAACCATTCAGACTGAACCTGCCCACGACAGACAGGAGCAGATCACAACCAGTCACGAACCTCAACATACGAAGACAGACAGGAGAGCAGACAACACATTACGACTGAACCTGCCAACAGACAGAGCAGCAAACTGGGAGTCAACAACCATTCAGACTGAACCTGCCCACAGACAGAAGGAGCAGACAAAGCGAGGATACAACCATTCAACTGAACCTGCCCACAACAGGAGACAGACAGGAGCAGATCACAACCATTCAGACTGAACCTGCCCACATACAGAGAGACAGACAGGAGCAAGGTCATCAACCATTCAACTGAACTGCCCACAGACGACAGGACAGGTCAAACATCAACTGAACTGCCCACAGACAGACGGGGCAGGTCACAACAGACAGGAAGCTGCCCCAAGACCTGGGACAGGTCAAACCATTCAGACTGAACCTCCCCCAGAAGACAGGAGCAGGTAACCCATTGTAAGACACCTGCCACAGACAGACGACAGAGCAATACAGGGACAAACCTCTCAGACTAAACCTGCCCACAGAAGACATGGCACAGGTCACAACCATTCAGACTGAACACTGCCACAGACAGACAGGAATCAACCGTTAACTGCCTGCCCCAGACAGAGAGGAACTCTTCTTCGGGATAACAACGTTCAGCTGACTAGCCAGGACAATGGAGCAGGTCAATACTCTGGGATACAACCTTCAGATTGAACGTTTACCCACGCGCTGACAGGAGCAGGTCAACTACTCTCTTGGGATACAACCTCAGTAATGACCTGCCCCGACAGAGCGGCAAGGTAATTCTCTGGGATAACACTTCGGATGATACCTGCCACAGACACGCTGGTGGCAGGTCAATACTGTTGGAGTACAACCATCGACTGACTGCTCAGGACAGACAGGAGCAGGCAATACTTCTGGGTAACAACTTCGACGTGAGATACACACAAGCGAGAGACAGTGCACTCTTTTGGAAAAAACGCATTCAGATAACCTGACCACAGAACCAGAACAAGAAGGTCAACTTCTCTGGAATAAAAAACCATTCAAGCACTGCCCACAGACAGACAGGAGCGGTCATTCCTTTGGGAAAAATTCCTTCAGACTGAACCCCACAGAACAAGGCGTAGGTCAATACTCTTTGTGATAAGAACCATTCAAGATCGTACCTGCCCACAGACATGACAGGAGCAGGTCAATACAGAGGGATAATCCATTCAGACTGCACATGCCTACTGACGACAGGACAGGTCATACTCCTCGGAAACAACCATCAGCGCACCTGCCCACAAGGCAACCTCCTGTCTGTCTGAATGGGCATATGTTAGCTGGTTTGACCTCCTGTCTGTCTGTGGGCATATGTTAGAGGTTAACCTCCTGCTGTCTGTGGGCATATGTTAGAGGTTAACCTCCTGTCTGTCTGTGGGCATATGTTAGAGGTTGACCTCCTGTCTGTCTGTGGGCATATGTTAGAGGTTGACCTCCTGTCTGTCTGTGGGCATATGTTAGAGGTTAACCTCCTGTCTGTCTGTGGGCATATGTTAGAGGTTGACCTCCTGTCTGTCTGTGGGCATATGTTAGGATGATATCATCCATAATCAGCGTTATTCACTACTGTGGTTCCAGTGGGATAAAACACACTATAGTGCTGATGAATGATTCTGTGCCCGTCTGGTTATAGATGAAAAAGTGAGTGTTAATTAACCCTCTGAATGACCATAATACTCATTAAAACAAAAGCATTACACCTGTATGTACTGAAATATATCAGAAATCAACTGTAAAAACCTTTAATTACATAAAAGAGCTCATTCCTTTTGGAAAATGTTTCCCAACACTGTTAAACCCACACTGAAACAATGGCTTTTCTATTCTAGTCAAATCCAACACTTTTTACTAAATGAACAGTGTAATGAATCAGTATGATTTATACTTCAATGCTCAGGTAGGTTGACTGAAGATGTGAGTGTTTGAGTTGTGTCTTACTGAAAGGTGATTGTACTTACATTGGGACCAGGGGGTCCCACTCTGCCGGCAGCTCCAGGGAAACCAGTGGCACCCTGTTAGAGAGAGATTGTTGATGAAATGGAAACATCAGAAACAATGTAAAGCGGAAATGAAATATATAATATGAGATTTGTACTTACAGGGGGTCCCTGAGCACCGCGAGCACCTTTGGGTCCAGAAACACCAGTAGGTCCCTGAAATGAAGGAAATTGATAGTCAGTTTTATGAAGAAACGTGAAGCAAGTAACTCCATCTGAATATTTCGTAACACAAATAACTACTCTATATATTTTTTTCTTTCAGGACAAAGTGAGTTAGTGAAACGTACGGAAGGTCCAGGAGCTCCGGAGGGCCCCTGGGGTCCGGGGGCACCAGCGTCTCCCTTCTGTCCACCCTCTCCCTGCTCTCCCTTGGCTCCGGGCTGACCATCAGATCCCTGGGGTGGGACACGGGGGAAAAAGACTGCTCAGACAGCTGCTTGCTTCAACATACAACAAGCAGCTTGAGTGGGTCCTGTAAATGTTGCAGTCTGGGTTGTTGACGGTAGCACTGATGGTGAGAGAAAGTGCATGGACAGTACTGTGTCCTTGGTGCGATACTTACAGGAGGCCCAGCGAAGCCAGCAGGCCCAGGAGGTCCAGTCTCGCCCCTGTCACCCTGTCAAGAGGTCAAGTTGAACATCATCAACTTCCCTTGAAATGTCCTTGTTCAAACGAGCATGTATCAAGTTCTGTGTTCATTTCATTATTGATTGAGAGGTGGAGAGTATTAAAGGAAATAGCATTGCGAGTGAATGTAATTCTCGCCTCTGGATCAATACAGTAGCCTAGAGATGGCAATAGGTCCTAATCAGGTAGCTTAGGAAAAGGGAAAAAATCTTTCTGATGTAAGAACTATCTTATCCTAACTTGTGAGTGTGTGTGTGTGTGTGGTGTGTGTGTGTGTGTGGTGTGTGTTGTGTGTTGTGTGTGTGGTGTGTGTGTGTGTGTGTGTGTGTGTGTGTGTGTGTGTGTGTGTGTGTGTGTGGCGTGTGTGTTGTGTGTTGTGTGTGTAGTACTTACAGGAGCACCACGGGCACCAGCAGCACCGGAAGGTCCAGAGGGACCAGATTCACCCTATAGGATGAAGGTCATAGAGGTCAGAGGTCAGTCACAGAGGTCAATCATACATCAACATATAGATATCAATCCACATATCAGACCTTATATGGACTGTTTTTATCATACCTAGGTGATCCAGTAACCTCATTACAGGTGATATGGCTGTATGTGTATTTTTCGGATTTATATAATACAAACATGTATTTGATCAATTAACCAATTAACTAGTATACAAGTTAAAAGATAAACGGACACCTTCTCTCCATTGGGACCAGCTGGGCCGGGAGGACCAATTGGACCAGTCAAACCCTAGACGATATAGAGAAATAGAAAGAGAGGGTATAGAAGAGTAAAAAAATTGAAGTTTCAGTCCAGCTCTCCTTCTGCTGTTAATGTCCATGAACAATTTAATGTGTGAGTATATACATGGATTACTGGAAGGAATATTTAAATATGCTGAATGTTAAACAGTAGAGTGGTTGACATTATCAATGTGTTGAATATGAAATGGTAGAGTGGTTGACATTATCAATGTGTTGAATATCAAATGGTAGAGTGGTTGACGTTATAAATGTGTTGAATATTAAATGGTAGAGTGGTTGACGTTATAGGGCTGTGAGGGGATATGGTGGATGATGATGATGATGATGATGGTCACTCACTCTTGAGCCGTCTTTGCCAGAAGCACCCTCAGGTCCCTTCTCTCCATTGTCACCCTGTGGGACACAAACACAATTACATTACAATACATTATGATTAAGGGCATACAGTAGGTTAACACATGATGGAATCACAACATCAATGAGAATGTACTGTAAATAGGCCCACATCATTTGTTGCCACTCCACATCATTATTGCTGTGCTGTTTTGCTTTTCTCCAGTGGATCATGTTGCAAAGTCCATGGCTAGTGATCCCTTTCATGGTTTAGTACGATTACGATAACTATGACTATAACTAATTTTAGGATGCTTCTCTCAAGTGGCACTCACTCTGTCTCCCTTAGGTCCGGGGATGCCTGAGGCTCCTCTCTCTCCGGGCATACCCTGCAGACCGGGGGGTCCCTGGGCACCCGATGCACCACCTGGTCCGATCGCGCCCTACAACACAACACACACAACAGATACTGTCAGCAGCTGAACACAGAACGAATAGCAACTCAGCAGCTGTTAGAGGTGTTGATGACAAACAACAGTAACAGCCCATAGAATAGAACTGAATATAACTGAATACACTTTACACTTTAGTCATTTAGCAGATGCTCTTATCCAGAGCGACTTACAGTTAGTGCATACATTATTCTTTTCTATTCTTTTTTTCATACTGGCCCCCGTGGGAATCGAACCCACAACCCTGGCGTTGCAAACGCCATGCTCTACCAACTGAGCTACATCCCTGCCGGCCATTCCCTCCCCTACCCTGGACCACGCTGGGCCAATTGTGCGCCAGAACATAATAGAACTGAATAGAACAGAATAGAACTGAAAATACATTTCACAGAAGCTCTATCCCCACAATGAAGAAACTGGCCAGTTCACAGTGACATTATTCATCAAAACAAACCATATCAAATGCAAGGGCAATACAAGGTGAACACTACCCAGTAATTAACTAGCTGAAAAGTTTTACCCAGCTTTGGTGTATCAGCAGGACCTTCATTAAAGGTTTTCATTTTTCATCAGGACCTTCATTCAAAGTTGTAATTTTCAGTTTCCTTCAAGATGGTTTGAGAATATATATTTGAGAATCATCTGAGGTCGTTTGGGACTTAATGAAGTTGCCCATTGCAACATGCATGCTCAATATATTTATTACATTTATTTGACATTGCACTACAAAACCATAAGTCTCAGAACACTGAGAAAACATGTGTCACACCAGATTTAGCTAATAGCTCATTTCCATCTGTAGTCCCTAAAACATCTAGACATGGAAACATTATATACATTTAGACATACACTACAGTTGAAAAGTTAGGGGTAATTTAGAAATGTCCTTGTTTTCGAAAGAAAAGCAATTTTTTTGTCCATTAAAATAACATCAAATTGATCAGAAATACAGTGTAGACATTGTTAATGTTGTAAATGGCTATTGTAGCTGGAAACGGCTGATTTTTAATGGAATATCTACATAGGCGTACAGAGGCCCATTATCAGCAACCATCAGTCCTGTGTTCCAATGGCACGTTGTGTTTGCTAATCCAAGTTTATCATTTTAAAAGGCTAATTGATCATTAGAAAACCCTTTTGCAATTATGTTAGCTGATTAAAGAAGCAATAAAACTGGCCTTCTTGAGACTAGTTGAGTATCTGGAGCATCAGCAATTGTGGGTTCGATTACAGGCTCAAAATGGCCAGAAACAAATAACTTTCTTCTGAAACTCATCAGTCTATTCTTGTTCTGAGAAATGAAGGCTATTCCATGTGAGAAACTGCCAAGAAACTGAAGATCTCGTACAATGCTGTGTACTACTCCCTTCATAGAAGAGCGCAAACTGGCTCTAACCAGAATAGAAAGAGGAGTGGGAGGCCCCGGTGCACAACTGAGCAAGAGGTCCTCAACTCACAGGTCCTCAACTGGCAGCTTCATTAAATAGTACCCGCAAAACACCAGTCTCAACGTCAACAGTGAAGAGGTGACTCCGGGATGCTGACCTTCTAGGCAGAGTTGCAAAGAAAAAGCCATATCTCGGACTGACAATCTCCATCTTTTCTTTTTATTGGCCAGTCTGAGATAAGGCTTTTTCTTTGCAACTCTGCCTAGAAGGTCAGCATCCTGGAGATGTCTCTTCACTGTTGATGTTGAGACCGGTGTTTTGCGGGTACTATTTAATGAAGCTGCCAGTTGAGGACCTGTGAGGCATCTGTTTCTCAAACTAGACACTAATGTATTTGTCCTCTTGCTCAGTTGTGCACCGGGGCCTCCCACTCCACTGTCTATTCTGGTTAGAGCCAGTTTGCGCTGTTCTGTGAAGGGAGTAGTACACAGCTTTGTACGAGATCTTCAGTTTCTTGGCAATTTCTCGCATAGAATAGCCTTCATTTCTTAGAACAAGAATATACTGATGAGTTTCAGAAGAAGGTTATTTGTTTCTGGCCATATTGAGCCTGTAATCGAACCCACAATTGCCGATGCTCCAAGATACTCAACTAGTCTCAAGAAGGCCAGTTTTATTGCTTCTTTAATCAGCTAACATAATTGCAAAAGGGTTTTCAAATGATCAATTAGCCTTTTAAAATGATAAACTTGGATTAGCAAACACAACGTGCCATTGGAACACAGGACTGATGGTTGCTGATAATGGGCCTTTGTATGCCTTTGTAGATATTCCATTAAAAAATCAGCCGTTTCCAGCTACAATAGCCATTTACAACATTAACAATGTCTACACTGTATTTCTGATCAATTTGATGTTATTTTAATGGACAAAGAAATGACCCCAAACTTTTGAACGGTAGTGTAGGTGAACATAGAAGTCAAAACATTGCCCATAGAAACACATTTCTATTGGATGGAACATGTCCTATAAAAATACATCAGCCACATCAAGACACAGCTACTGTACAGTATATGAAATTGTTTAAAACAGTATTTGAACTCAGGCCTGTGCTGTTTATAGAGTTGACGTTGTTGTTATTTGTCTTCCTCTTCTATATCACACTGACTTTTGCTGTCTGGCAGCTCGTTCTCATTAACGTTCTCTAAGCTTGTTCTCGGCCAATTTGCCAAATGTTCCTGCAGCGCTTAGCTCAAAGAGGAGTGCTGTGTTTGTTCTCTCCTGCTGGCACTGCTGCCTCTCTAAACCCCCAGTTACATTTATCTGTCTGTACATCCCTCCTCCTCCTCCTCCTCCTCCTCCTTCCTCCCCCTCCTCCTCCTCCCCCTCCCCCTCCTCCTCCTCCTCCTCCTCCTCCTCCTCCCTCCATCATATCATTAGCTCTAATCCCAGCCTCTATCTATCCTTTCCTCCTTGTGTAACAGTCAGAGGGGTTCTGAACTGAAATGGCCTGGAAGGCAAGCAGGCAGGCACTTTCACCCCCTAGTCTCCTCAAATCTCCCCCAAGTCTGTTCCACTCATTACCAGTATTGAGAATGAAAAGTTGCACTGAGCCGTGGTTAACGGACAACGGGAATGTCTGTGAATGTGCCACGTTTCCTGTAATATGATAACCGTAAATCTCATTTTCTAAGCAGTGAAAAGGTTGTGTAGAATTTGCCCTTGGTGGTAACGAGATGGTATAGCTGGCATGCTTTAAACAGGTACTGTGCAGGATCAGGATGGGACCGTGCATTGTTGTAATGAGCCAGTCTCATGCATCAAATACTATATGTTCTGTGGGATATGGTGGAACCAAATGGGTGTCCTGACTCTCCGTGTTCACTAAAGATCCCATGGCACTTATCGTAAGAGTAGGGGTGTTAACCCCAGTGTCCTGGCTAAATGTCCAATCTGGCCCTCATAGCATCATGGCCACCTAATCATCCCCAGCTTCCAATTGGCTCATTCATCCCCCCTCCTCTCCCCTGTAACTATTCCCCAAGTCGTTGCTGTAAATGAGAATGTGTTCTCAGTCAACTTACCTGGTATAATAAGGGTAAAAAAAAGAAGAAAATCTACCAGCTGCAAATACTACCAGCTGCAAATACTACTAGCTTCAAATTGTACTAGTCCGGTTCACATTCTGCTAGCCAAGGGTCCAAAATCTGGGCTATGCTATTAGGTATATGAGAAGACAAAATTATCTACAGTACAGTGTGTTTGTCTCACCTTGGGTCCATCAGTTCCAGGAGTTCCAGGAAGACCACGGGGTCCCTGCAGCCCCTGAGGCCCAGCACCTCCTCTCTCTCCTGGGAAACCACGCTCACCCTATAGGGAGACAAGGATGGATGGTTAGCATTATTGGTCCTCCATAACTCCATAAGTGGAGTTTAGCTATAGGAACACCGTAGGTGTGGAGATGATGGTGGAGGAGATTAAACTCACTCTGGGTCCAGTGGCACCAGCAGCTCCACCCTCTCCCGGAACTCCCATGTCACCGGGCTTGCCTCCCTCACCAGGGGGGCCGGGAGGTCCGGGCAGACCCTGTACACAGGAAGCAAAACAACCAATCAATGAATCACTCATTCATTCAATCAATCAATTAATCAATCAATCATGTGGCTGTTGTTACTCCTTGCAAAGTGTATAGTTGACTGAATTGTCAATGTGATTGGACAAATGTAGCATATAATGTCTGCGTTTACACAGGTAATTTAATTCTGATATTTTTCCACTAATGTTTTTTTTTACCAATCAGATCAGCTCTTTTGCCAATAATTGCGCTGCCTGTGTAAACGCAGACTAATATGTTATGGGAGTGTGTGAATGCAGAGTGACAGACAGACAGACAGACACAGACAACAGAAAGACAACAGACAACAGACACAGACAGACAGTACACAGTGATGCAGACGACGGACAGACAGACAGGTACACAGTGAATAGAGTGACAGACAGACAGACAGACAGACAGACATACGACGACAGACAGAATGACAGACAGACAGACTAGACAGACAGACAGGTACGAGTGACATGCAGAGTGACAGACAGAAGACAGAGACACAGACAGACGACAGGACAGGTACACAGTGAATGCAGAGTGACGACAGAAGAGACAGAAGAGACAGACAGACAGACAGACAGACAGACAGACAGACAGACAGACAGACAGACAGGTACACAGTGAATGCAGAGTGACAGACAGACAGACAGGTACATAGTGAATACAGAGTGACAGACAGACAGACAGGTACACAGTGAATGCAGAATGACGACAGACAGACAGACAGACAGACAGACAGACACAGACAGACAACAGCGAACAGACGGTACACGTAATCAGAGTGACAGACAGACAGGTACACAGTGAATAAGATGACAGACAGACAGACAGACAGACAGGTAACAGAAGCAGAATGACAGACAGACAGACAGGTACACAGTGAATGCAGAGTGACAGACAGACAGACAGGTACACAGTGACAGAATGACAGACAGATGCAACAGACAGACAACAGACAGACGACAGACGACAGACAGGTACACGTGAATGACAGAGTGACAGACAGACAGGTACACGTGAATACAGAGTGACAGACGACGCAGACAGACCAGAAGGCACAGACAGATGCAGCACGACAGCTGCCCAGGTCAGAGGATGCAGAGTGACAGAGAAGACTAAAGACAGGTCACAGTGATGCGAATGCCAAAGACAGACTGACAGAGACAACAGCGACAGACAGCTCCGACAGACAGACAACAGACAGACAGCAAAGGTAAGAGTGAATGCGATGACAGACAACAGACAGACAGACAGGTACACGTGAATGCGAGTGACAGACAACAGACAGTATACTGAATACAGAGTGCAGACAGACGACAGGTACACAGTGAATGCAGAATGACAGACAGACAGACAGACAGACAGACAGACACACAGACAGGTACACGGTGAATGCAGAGTGACAGACAGACAGACAGACAGACAGGTACACAGTGAGTGCAGAATGACAGACAGACAGACAGACAGACAGACAGGTTCACAGTGAATACAGAGTGACAGACAGACAGACAGACAGGTACACAGTGAGTGCAGAATGACAGACAGACAGACAGACAGACAGGTTCACAGTGAATGCAGAGTGACAGACAGACAGACAGACAGACAGACAGACAGACAGACAGACAGACAGACAGACAGACAGACAGACAGACAGACACACACAGACAGACAGACAGACAGACAGACAGGTACACGGTGAATGCAGAGTGACAGACAGACAGGTACACAGTGAATACAGAGTGACAGACAGACAGGTGTACAGGTACTGACCTGGAAGCCAGAAGGTCCAGGTTGTCCTTGCTCTCCTCTCTCTCCAGCAGGGCCCTGAGGTAAAGGAAGGCTTAACAGTGAGCTTTATTCATTGACCTGTCAAAGGCTTTCGATACTGTTGATCACTCACTGCTCATTCAGAAGCTTTCCTCAATTGGCCTAGACCAGGCTGGATGTAACTGGTTTAAAAATGACTTGACAGATAGAACTCAATGTGTATCTACTGATGGTGTTAAATCAGGTTTCCTGAATATTATGAAAGGGGTCCCGCATGGGTCGATTCTGGGTCCTGTACTTTTTACTGTTAACATTAACAATATCGACTTGTCTGTAAAACATTTTTACCTGCACTTGTATGCTGATGATACTGTTGTGTATGCTATTGTCCCCACGGTTGACCAGGCTCTATCTGAACTACAGTCTGCCTTCATTGTATTACATAAACACGTTATTGACCTGAAATTATTACTGAATGCAGGTAAAACTAAGTATATGTTGTTCTCTGGAGCGCATAAAAATAACTGATGATTTAAGCATATTGATCGTGTCCCTGCTTACAAATATCTGGGCATCTGGATAGATGAAAAGCTGTCATTTAAAAAGCATATTGATTAATTAGTTGTATTGAAATAGGTCCTGCCTCTCGCTAAATAGTAGAAAGCAGGTTATTCAGTCGACGTTCCTATCGGTTCTAGACTATGGCGACATCATCTATATGAACTCAGCTGCCACTTCGTTTAAAGTCGTTAGATGCAGTTTATCATAGAGCACTGCGCTTTATTACGAATGACAATTTTAGTATTCATCATTGCATTCTCTACCAAAAAGTTGGTTGGCCCGCTTGGATGTCACGTAGGTTGATAGATTGCTATGTTTTCATTTATAAATCTTTTACAAAAAGTCCCACTGTACCTAAGATCATTACTAAACTTTAGACATACGAGTTACCACACCCGGTCTCAGGGAGGCTAACTCTGGAAATTCCTTTGCCTCTACCAGTGCTGTAAAGTACTTAAGTAAATAATTTAAAGTACTACTTAAGTCGTTTTTTGGGGTATCTGTACTTTACTTTACTTTTTCTCTGACACCCAAAAGTATTCGTTACATTTTCACAGGAAAATGGTCCAATTCACACACTTATCAAGAGAACATCCCTGGTCATCCCTACTGCCTCTGATCTGGCGGACTCACTAAACACACATGCTTTGTTTGTAAATTATGTCTGAGTGTTGGAGTGTGCTCCTGGCTATCCGTCAATTAAAAAATAAAATAAATAATTGAACCGATAGGAACGTCGACTGATTAATCTGCTTTCTACTATTTAGCGAGTGGCAGGACCTATTTCTATTGGTTTGCTTAATATAAAGAATTTGAAATGAGTTATACTTTTACTTTTGATACTTAAGTACATTTTAGCAATTCCATTTACTTTTGATACTTAAATATATTTAAAACCAAATACTTTTAGACTTTTACTCAAGTAATATTTTACTGGGTGACTTTCACTTTTACTTGAGTCATTTTCTATTAAGGTATCTTTACTTTTACTCAAGTATGACAATTTAGTACTTTTACCACCACTGGCCTCTACTGAGTTAGGTAAATCAGCTTTTAGTTTCCTTACACCTTATTTGTGGAACAATCTTCAAAATGTTCTTCAATTTGATGTTCTGGTGCCTCTACAACAATTCAGAAAGCTGACTGAGGATCTTATTACTGATGAATGTGTTTGTTTTTTATGACTGTGTTTTTCTTTCTTTCTGCTTGCATTCTGTATTTATATTTTGATGTGTGTATTTTCTGTAATTTATGTAATTCAGGGCTCATCTGTAAAAGAGACCTTGGTCTCAGTATGACTCCCTGATCAAATAAAGGACCTTGGTCTCAGTATGACTCCCTGATCAAATAAAGGACATTGGTCTCAGTATGACTCCCTGATCAAATAAAGGATAAATAAAATCAAACCAAAGGACTGGGCTGCTGTGAAAAAAACAAATGAAGAATTGTGCCTTTAAACTCAACTGACACATCTAACATCAAGCAAAGTAATTGTGAACAAGTTGGTCTCATCTTGACAATACACTGTAATAATCGTACCATCTTACAACCACATTGAAACTTGAATCAGAAAGGTTAGCTAGCTGTGAATTGACAACGATACCCGTTGAACACATTGGAGCATATCCAGCCTGGGTTTGGTGGAGTTATCAGGTCCTTTTAGACAGTAAATTGAGAAAGGTGGATAAGATCAGCGAGAGATAGTGATACTCACAGCAGGGCCAGGGGGTCCAGCAGCTCCGGTCTCACCATCCTTACCAGGAAGACCCTATAAGGAGAAAGAGAGAGAGAGAGGGAAGGAGAGAGGAGGGGTGGGAGAAGAGAGAGGGAGAGAGAGAGAGAGAGAGAGAGAGAGAGAGAGAGAGAGAGAGAGAGAGAGAGAGAGAGAGAGAGAGAGAGAGAGAGAGAGAGAGAGAGAGAGGAGAGAGAGAGAGAGTGAGTTAGAGGCCATGGGAGGCAGATGAAGCCTGATAGATGTAATTACAACTACTGGGATAAACTGAGTACGTGGAATGGTTTCCTAACAATATCTTTAAAGTGTTTTCTGCACATTTGAAATTGCATATAATATCATAAAAAAGAAGGTAGCAGGCTATTTATGATTCGTAGCAGTGTTTGGTTTAATCTAAATGGATTCCTGAAAGCATTTTGTATTTTTTATCCTTTCTAGGAGGGCATAAGGTATGTTTACCCTGACATATTACTGATAAGTATGTCTGTGTCTGTCTGTCTGGGGGAGATAAATAATCCACAGAGAAATGACTTACTCTCAGACCTGGCGCACCAAGAAGTCCCTTCTCTCCTCCCTTGCCAGGTTCGCCCTAGTCAGAAAACACACACACCAGTCAGTCACCAAGGATGTCCAGCTGTATGTAGAATAGACAGACACTCTGTCCATGGCAGCTAGTGTCCAAGCCTTACTCAGGAGATTTGAAAATGCATCAATCAATCAATCAATCAATCATTAAATCATCCAAACACCCAACCAATCAATCAATCATCAAATCATCCAAACACCCAATCAATCAATCATCAAATCATCCAAACGCCCAACCAATCAATCAATCATCAAATCATCCAAACACACAATCAATCAATCATCAAATCATCCAAACACCCAACAACCATTAAATCATCAAATCATCCAAAACACCCAACCAATCAATCATCAAATCATCCAAAACACCCAACCAATCAATCATCAAATCATCCAAAATACTCAATCAATCAATCAATCATCCAAAATACTCAATCAATCAATCAATATTCCAAAAACCCAATAAATCAATCAATCTACAATCAATCAATCAAACAGTGACACTTACGTTGGCTCCCTTGGGTCCGGGGAATCCCATCACACCAGGCTGACCGCGGGCTCCCATTGGGCCAGGGGGTCCGGGGCGACCATCCTCACCAGCCGAACCCTACAGGGGGGAAACAGGAAGGTCAGTCAATCAATCAATCAATCAATCGTGCAAAATAAAAACTAGAAGTTATGCACCTGAGGGTTTTTCTCCACTGTCTGAGTCAATTATGTACATAAACCCTATCAGTCATCTAGTGTCTATATAAATCATTGGTCAGAGTCCTGTGAACATGCTGATTCATCTAGTGTCTATATAAATCATTGGTCAGAGTCCTGTGAACATACTGATTCATCTAGTGTCTATATAAATCATTGGTCAGAGTCCTGTGAACATGCTGATTCATCTAGTGTCTATATAAATCATTGGTCAGAGTCCTGTGAACATACTGATTCATCTAGTGTCTATATAAATCATTGGTCAGAGTCCTGTGAACATGCTGATTCATCTAGTGTCTATATAAATCATTGGTCAGAGTCCTGTGAACATGCTGATTCATCTAGTGTCTATATAAATCATTGGTCAGAGTCCTGTGAACATGCTGATTCAGCTAGTGTCTATGTAAATCATTGGTCAGAGTCCTGTGAACATGCTAGTGTCATCTAGTGAGCAACTTCATGTTTATTATAATTTTTTTAATACAAAAACATTCTTTTTTACAGTCGTTGAACAAAACAGACAACAAGCATACTTACACCGGGTCCAACTTTGCCTTGAGGACCTGCATCACCAGGACGACCAGTAAGACCCTGCAAGACGAGCACAGAGACACACACATCACAGCTCAAACCTCCTAAAAGGCCTGAGCAATCAATCTCCGACTCATCAAATACCTCAAGTATACTGTATGTGAGTTCAATCTACAGTGATTATTGTCTTGGCTTCATAGTGCAGCCATTGTCATTACCAGAGCCTATATATTTAATTTAGTAGCCTATGTACAATATTATTATGCGAGTTAAATTATTGGCTCCGTTACTCAGCCATAGTTTTATTCCATCTCACCAGAGCATTGATACATACTGCTGTTCCAGATGGTAGAGAGAAGTTGGAGTGGAACTTACTCTTGCGCCAGGAAGACCGGGCTCGCCAGGACGACCAGGGTCACCACCGGCTCCCTTAGGGCCAGACACACCGCCGACTCCACGCTCGCCAGGGGCTCCCTGGATTAGGAGGACAAATGTATGTGTTACTCAATGGAGACGATCAATCAATCAATCAATCAAGTAATCAATCAATCAAATCAATCAAGTAATTAACCAACCAACAAATCACTCAACCAATCAATCAATCAATCAAGTAATCAACCAATCAATCAATCAATCGCTCAATACCAACGCCGGGGTACACTGCATAAGTAGGACAAATCCTTCAGTCACACAGTGGAAAAGATCAATAAATCCACCAATCAATCCATCAACCCATCAATCAATCAGCCACTCAGCCAATCAATCAATTAGCCAATCAATAAATAAATATATCGATCAAGACAGATCTAGCTCCACAGCTACTTCACAGTAGTCCATGTAGTGTATTAGGAGGACAAATTAACTGAAGAGGCTCTGAGGGAAGTGTCTGACAGTGTGAAGCGCTGAAATGTAAGCCTGTCTGTTTGTCCCTAAATAAACCTCAACAGATCATTACAGACAACTGTGTTCCTCTATCTTTTTCTGGGATAGTTATCTTGTGAAGTGTCAGGGGGTGCGATTATGTTTTTGAAGGAAAATGAGTCAGGGGTGAATCGAATTGACATCAAGTCCCATTGACATCAATGCTTGACTAAGTGAACATTTGACTTAGTTAGGATTCACCCCATACATGGAACGTGAATCCAGGTAGCTTAGTGGTTAAGAGCGTTGTGCCAGTAACCGAAAGGTCGCTGGTTCTAATCCCCGAGCCGACTAGGTGAAAAATCTGTCGATGTGCCCTTGAGCAAGGCACTTAACCCTAATTGCTCATGTAAGTCGCTCTGGATAAGAGCGTCTGCTAAATGACTAAAATGTGTAAATGTAAAGATCCATTCCATCTGTCTCCACGGTCACTTCACATGAGGTTACGCTTGGCAAACACCCTCAGGTGGCATAGCCTGACGGGTAGGAGCGTTGGGCCAGTAACTGGAAGGTTGCTGGACTGAATCCCTGAGCCGAAAAAGTACAAATCTATCATTCTGCCCTTGAGCAAGGTAGTTATCCCTCAACAATTGCTCTCTGGGTGCTGATGACACGGACGTTAAATGTGGAAGACGGGTCAATCTCCCTTCTGAGGAAGCAGGGGAAAGACGGGTCAATTGTCTTGAAATGAGAAAAGATTGCTTCTGACACATTCCCCCCCTGTAATGAATAAGGGTGAATAATATTTCATTTAGCATGTAATGAAATGCTTCCGTTTGCAGTCTGAGACGCTGGTGTCAGCTAGACTAGAGTTGGTGGTGAGGATGAGGTTGATGGTGACCTCTGGTGGTGAAATAGTGGAATTATAGACGACGCCAGTTGACACTAAGGCTGTCTAGGTTTGACTGTTCATGCAGCGTTTGGATTCTGATCATGGAATTCCGAACGCGTCATGCGTCTACACATACATGTAACCGTGTCTCCTGATTTCCTTCTCTCGCACTATATTTAAATGCCAATACGCATTCTACAAATGGTGGAATAGGCTAAATATGATAATAACACAACAACTGATGGCAGTAGCTAACTACTGTAGCTAACTAGCCAGCTAACCTCTGTAGCTAGCTAGCAAGCTAGTAAGCAACGCTAAAGGGAATGCAAACGGGTCAGCATAACTCATAAAAAACAACAACATTTGGGCTAGCATTTATGAGGCCAGCAAACACGTTCCTCACACGCTAGGGACGTATTTCCTCCAACGTTATAATGAAAAGGTGCCTCTCGGTCCCAAAACACAAGTTTTCTGGAGACTAGTGGGAGGAGTGCTGATAAAGTCGCCCACTCTATGCACTTTCGGTAGCATGATTGCTTCCAGACTGAGGAGAAATCTGCACACAATGCATCCCTGACCACCTCCTGAAGTGGTCAGCCAGATCTGAACGCAATCAGACCACAGAGTGACTTTTGTGCGTCTACACCCGTCTTTTCAATGCGATCTTTGTATTCTGATAGCAGAAGTCGCATGTAAGTGTCAAGTGTAGACAATACCTAATAGGAGCTCTGTCTTTCTTTCTCACTTATCAGTTTCTCTGTGATGCTGTTCCAATTTCTCTGCTATCCTAACAGAATATTCAGTCAGATTGGATAGTAATTGCCTGACAGATTCCAATAACTCTACCAAGAGGGTTAAGAAAACGATGATGAAATGTCTTCACTACTACTCTTGCACAGAATGGCATTTCCACACCAACACTTGGCTGTAGATAAGTATATTATCCATGATCCTGTGGGGTTCAAATGTACAGATGTGTCATTGCTGACCTAATCTCACAACCCAGAACCAATCTTGCATGGTTAACGTTTATGTTAACAGTCCGTCACTCAAGACACTGTTACTGACACAGGTATTATACATATCTTATCTCCCCAGTCCTGACAGTATCAGAGTAACCTATTCAGTTGATCCGAATGTGTCCTTCCTGTTCATTTCCTGTACCATAGCACTTTGTTTCCCCTACTTTAACCATACACCCCTCCTCTGGGACCACATTGTCATGGTGACACTCTCCTAGGGACAGACCAGACCATCCACCTGGAACCACGTCTCCGAGGGCAGCCAAATATGAACCAACAAACAGGAGGTTTGTTGGTCACAGTATTACAATACAAATACATTTACATGAAGACAAGTGCTGTAAATGTAAGTGACATGGACACTACATGTAGCTCTTTCTTCTCATTGCTTTCTCTGTGAGCTCTGCGCCATTCTTGACAGCCCTCTGTGACAGCATTCTCATGTGATAGCTTCTCTGTACAGATTCTGGAAAACTCTCTCAGTGGTAAGCAAACTCTGTGAAAGCCTCTGTGCACTACTCTCTGTGACAGCCTCTTTCGACAGCTACTTCTGTGACAGCTCTCTTGTATCCATGATCCTGTGGAAGTTCATGTCGACAGTCTTCTGTGAACCTCTTGACAGCTCCTCGTGACATCTTCATGGTGACAGCCCTTTGTGACAGTCCTCCTCAAGCCTGTTCGTGACAGGCCTATTGACAGTCTTCTCCAGCTGTCTGTACAGGCTCTCTATCAGTATCCTGTGTACAGCTTCTCTGTTCGCCTCCTGTGACAGCTCTTTCCTACTAACATCTCGACAGCCTCTCTGGACACTTGTCTCTGTGACACTCTCTGGGACAGCAGCCTCCTCTGGGAACACTCTCGTGAACCCGTCGCTAAACAAAGCTCACGACATGGCTCTCTGGTACGAGGCCTCTCGGACAGCACATCTGACAACCCAACCTGTGACTAGTCGTTGTGACTATAACTTCTGGACAGCTCTCTCTGTGACAGCTTCTCTGTGACATTCTCTCTGTGACACCCTCGTGACAGCCCTCTCGCAGCCCTCTGTGACAGTCTTTTGTGACAGCTCTCTCTGTGACAGCTCTCTCTGTGACAGCCTCTCTGTGACAGCCCTCTCTGTGACAGCTCTCTCTGTGACAGCCCTCTCTGTGACAGCCTCTCTGTGACAGCTCTCTCTGTGACAGCCCTCTCTGTGACAGCCCTCAGGGAGGGTAGACGTCCATTTAATTTCCTCCGTTTTATGTCCAGGAAACACATTATGTCTCGACAAGTGGTTGGAATGATAGTTGGCCTTGTACGCTGACAGGGTTGACAAGATGGGTGTCGTGGGTGGTACTCACTCTCTCTCCGGGTGGTCCGAGAGGTCCAGCAGCGCCGGGCTCTCCTCTGGGTCCCCTCTTCCCCTCCTCTCCTGCAGGGCCAAGGGCTCCTTGGGGACCCGCGGGTCCCTACAGAAACACAACAGGATGTCAGTTATCACGTATAATATCCATAATCGATAGATTTAGATTTAGAAATATATTTCACTAAGAAGGGAGAAAAACTGATAAAGTATATGCTGATGTTAGGTGTTATCATTAGTTAAGTAAGATGTCTGCGGCTTGGTAAATACTTTCTGGAAGTAAAGTTATCTCTCAATCTTTGGGGGGGTTCCTCATTTTCTATGATGAATGCTGATCATAAATAAGCATTCTTGACTTTCTTTAAGAAACTATCATAAAATGCTTAAAATTCTGTTGCTTGCCTGGTCCTTAGTAGGTCTAATGTTGGATTGTTGAGCAGTAATAAACAAATAGGGCCCCCTTGGGGCTTAGTTACTCCATTCTGTCTATGAGTTTCATGGGGCGTTATAAACTCTTGTACATTAACCAGTATTTTGAGGGATTACTTAGCTATCAGAGACTGAAAGAGAGAGAGGAAGAAGAGAGAGGAGAGAGAGAGAGAGAGAGAGAGAGAGAGAGAGAGAGAGAGAGAGAGAGAGAGAGAGAGAGAGAGAGAGAGAGAGGGAGAGAGAGAGGGAGAGAGAGAGAGAGCGAGAGAGAGAGAAAGAGACAGACTTACAGACAGACAGAGACCTAACGAAAGCACAGTGGTAAGAGCAACAACTTCAAAATAATAATACTCACAATCTCTCCCTTGGGTCCAGCCTCACCCTTGAACCCTGGGATACCGGGGTCACCCTAAAGAGAAAGACAAAAAGACATGGGTCATCATTACAGACCTAGAACGTTCTGAAGTCTTTTGACAATTAATTACAACGATTACAACCATTTCCTCCATTGGAGTTGTATATTACTAGCCTTGAAATGCTAACTGAATCACGCTACATTACAATATATTATTATATTACAGATACCTCGTACCATCCCTGACATTCACTATACATTACAACAAGTTTGGCGAGACAGTTTAGACGTACAGATGTTCCCTTTGGTCCGAGCGGTCCAGTGGCTCCCTGGGGTCCTGGAGGACCACGGGGTCCGGGGAAGCCAGGCGCGCCAGCAATACCAGGAGCACCCTGTGGTAAGAGAGACAGAGAGGACACTGGTCAATATCAATCATGTATCAATTAATCATCATGCTGAAATGATCACTGTGTGATAGTTGGAGGGAACACTAAACATTAGATTAACACAATGATATTAAAATCTGAAAATAGGTTGAGATGTGTTTACTGTTGCTTACGGATCAATGAGGAAGAAAATCTATAACTTTATCTAAGGAGGTTTCTGGACTTAGATCTGTGTCTTAAATTTTACATGAGCTAGTGGGTGGAGCAGGTGGGAGAGGTTACAGGCATGCTGGGAACTCCAGCAACAAGTACCAACTGCTGTCTGCTTGACTATTATGTAAGGGATAGGTGTGTGCGTGTAAGACTGTGTGTGTGTGCGTGTGTGTGTGTGTGTGTGTGTGTGTGTGTGTGTGTGTGTGTGTGTGTGTGTGTGTGTGTGTGTGTGTGTGTGTGTGTGTGTGTGTGTCTGTGCGTGCCTGGCCCCAGGTCTGGTCTCTTCAGCCATAGCTAACTCAAAGCGACATATATCACACCTGACTGATTCTCATCTAAAGGATTTGAATGGCTTCTTGATTGTGTTACCGGGAAAGTTAGGACCAAGAGCTTTTCCTAACCACGTCACCTGTCCAGGTAAATAGAAAAACTCCTGGTTCGGGCACATGAAAAGGAAATGGAAAAACTACTGACCCTAGGCCCTATGGGCCTCCTTGTAGCTCAGTTGGTAGAGCATGGCGCTTGCAACGCCAGGGTTGTGGGTTCGATTCCCACGGGGGGGCCAGTATGAAAAATGTATGCGCTCACTAACTGTAAGTGGCTCTGGATAAGAGTGTCTGCTAAAATGACTAAAATGTAAAATGTAGGCCTTTGGTAACGGAGATTTTAGTATTTCTTTTTTGGGGTCAAGGCTGGGTTTCATAACGTGGGAGTGGCTCTCTATCTTTAGTTTACAGACTAAACTAGTAACAACATTTACATTTAGTTTGGAGAGAATCTCTGTAACACTTGACTTTTAGCCTGCAGGTAAGGCTTTATAACTTTTAATAGGATTGTATGAGATTTATAATGTCTTATAATATGTAGATTTCATATACTGTATGAAATCTCAGGGCCAATAGAGACAGCCTGATTATCTCTGTAGATATCCTAGTGGTTTAGACACGATCTCCATTCATCAGCCTTATTCCAGCTAAAGGCACTAACAGATCCCACACATTATTCAACTCTAATAAAAAGGTACTTCAGGTGTAACATTTTATTAGACTTAATTGGAGATGACCCTCAAACCCTGCCCGTACTGTGGACATGGACTATCTTTAGTTATACTGATAGAAGTCCGCAGCCACAGTGTGAGAACAGCAGGAGGACTATAAGATACAGAGACAGAGGAAAGGGAGGGAGAAGTGGAGAGGTTGTCCAGTAAACTCACAGCTGATCCTTTAGCTCCTCCAATACCATCAGTACCAGGGTTACCCTGTAGGGAAGAACAGACGAGTTAGAATGATCATTACATCCTTGTACATAGCAATTTTTCATCTTACATCATAAGCATATGACAAGGACACAGAGTGTTTCCTGTTCAAGTCACATTGTCAGGAAAAACTCAGGTCCCTAGTCATATGACTTGGACCACTGATACAGAGACACTGTTTTACGGGGACACTGTCATACTGGGACACTGTTTTACGGGGATATCATTTTACAGGGGCACTGTTTTACAGGGGACACTGTCATACTGTTTAGTGGGGACACTGTTTTGTGGGGACACTCACAGATGCGCCGGCGGGTCCGGGAGATCCGGGGGTTCCTGATTCTCCACGGGGTCCCTGGGCGCCCTCAGGTCCACGAGCACCGGTGGGGCCAGCTTCTCCCTGGAGAGAGACAATCAATCAAACAATCAATCAAATGGTCTATCAAACATCAATAAATCAAACAATAAATTAAATTGATCAATCAAGCAATCGATCAATAATGTATTGAAGTGTACTGTTTTAATATTATTGTCAAGAGCCTAAAAAAACTGAAACTATTTGCCAAATAAACACGTGCAGATTTGGTTTAGACGGTGAAGCATTTATTGCCAAATAAACACCTCCATAAGAGTTAAGTGTTGACATCTTGTAAAATAGTCAGAAGTGTTTCTTCTTCATTTAATTCAGTAAAAGCCCAAATAGGTAAATCCCATATTAAGAATTTCTAAAGTCTAACTAATTTTATCGGAAGACAAATTACATTAAGAGTAACATTTTTACACATGAAAAGAAGAAACCCTACTTATGGCTCAAATAAATTAACCTTTAAATTAAATTAACCCTAGCTTTCAAATAAAAGTAATTTAATAAGGGGCTGTCTGAAAAGTGCCGTAGCCAGAGCCAAGTGTATAATGGTTTCCAGGTCTAATAGTATAATGAAAGAGAATGAGGAGAGTTATCCTGACTCACTCAAGTATTATTGTCAGACAAGGCTACGCCCCCTTACTGCAGACCACAGCCAATCATTGCACTGCATAGTGAGGTCATAGCCTTTGGGAAACTGGGTGAATGAAATGAATGAAATTCCTAACTGTCGTTACCATGGTGTTTTATACAACATGACATAGTAGGATGACATAATATATACTGTATGCGTTTATAAGGGTGGTGGAGAGGTTGGCACCTTCCCTCCCTGATATCCTAGTTTACATAGGCTGCATATGGGGACACATGGAAACATGTAATATGCCTTTCATTTATATAATATGTATATGGCCTACAGTGTATATTTGAGTCATTCAAACAAATACACACACATTAGAAATAGATGGCTTTGGGTCTCTTGAATGTTAAGGTTTAGGGTAGGTTATAGAAAAAAGACCTGGGTTCAAAAAGTATTTGAATTTTTTTATATTATTATTTTTTGTACTTTGGAGTGCCATATGGGATTTGAAAG